CAGCAACTCCATCTTGAATGGGGCCTTGGTAAAAAAAAAAAAAAAAAAAAAAAAAAAAAAAAGGCTGAGACTTGCTGGGCTGCACTCCCATAGGTTAGGCATTCTAAGTCACAGGATGACATAGGAGGTTGGCACAACATACAGGTGGTAAAGGCCTTGCTGATAAAACAGGTTTCAGAAAAGAAGGCGGCCCAAACCCACCAAAACCAAGATGGCAAAGAGAATGACCTCTGGTCTTCCTCACAGCTGCACTCCCACCAGCGCCATGACAGTTTACAAATGCCATGGCAACGTCAGGAAGTTAGCCTATATGGTCTAAAAAGGGGAGGCACGAATAATCCACCTGTTGTTTAGCATATCATCAAGAAATAACCATAAAAATGGGCAACCAGCAGCCCTCAGAGCTGCTCTACCTATGGAGCAACCATTCGTTTATTCCTTTCCTTTCTTAATAAATTTGCTTTCACTTTATGGACTTGCCCCGAATTCTTTCTTGAGTGAGATCCAAGAATCCTCTCTTGGCGTCTGGATTGGGACCCCTCTCCAGTAACACATGCATAGACGTGCTTAGGATCAGCATTTTGCAGAAAGCTGTTGAGGTGTCTCTGGAAAGGTCAATGGTAGAATTCTGTTTTTCACTATTTATTTATTTATTGAGAGACGGAGTCTGGCTCTGTTGCCCAGGCTGGACTGCAGTGGCGCCATCTCGGCTCACTGCAACCTCTGCTCCCGGGTTCACGCCATTCTCCTGCCTCAGCCTCCCCAGTAGCTGGGACTACAGGCGCCCGTCACCACGCCCGGCTAATTTTTTTTGTATTTTTAGTAGAGATGGGGTTTCACTGTGTTAGCCAGGATGGTCTTGAACTCCTGACCTTGTGATCCGCCCTCCTTGGCCTCCCAAAGTGCTGGATTTACAGGCGTGAGCCACCGTGCCCAGCTCACTTTTTATTTTTTTGAGACAGGGTCTTACTCCGTTGCCCAGGCTGGAAAGCAGCGGCGTGATCTTGGCTCACTGGAGCCCTGACCTCCTGGGCTCAAGTGATCCTTCTGCCTCAGCCTCCTGAGTAGTTGGGACTATAGGTGATGCCATCACCCCAGACGATTTTTTTTTTTTTTGGTATTTTTTGTAGAGATGGGGTTTTGCCACGTTGCTCAGGCCAGTCTTTTTTTTTTTTTTTTTTTTTTTTTTTTTTTTTTTTTTTTTTTTTTTGAGACGGAGTCTTGCTCTGTCACCCAGGCTGGAGTGCAGTGGCCGGATCTCAGCTCACTGCAAGCTCCGCCTCCCGGGTTTACGCCATTCTCCTGCCTCAGCCTCCCGAGTAGCTGGGACTACAGGCGCCCGCCACCTCGCCCGGCTAGTTTTTTGTATTTTTTAGTAGAGACGGGGTTTCACCGTGTTAGCCGGGATGGTCTCTCGATCTCCTGACCTCGTGATCCGCCCGTCTCGGCCTCCCAAAGTGCTGGGATTACAGGCTTGAGCCACCGCGCCCGGCCCAGGCCAGTCTTGAACTACTATGCTGCCTCGGCTTCCCAAAGTGTTGGGATTGCAGACGTCAGCCACTGTGACTGGCCAGGAATGTATATTTAGTAAGTATGGACTGTGGTGGGAACATTTTTGATGTGTACGGTCTATGTGTAGGGAAGGTTTTGGATAAGAGCAGAAAGGAAGCTCTCCTGTGCTTATATTTTTTATTGATACATGATAATATTTTGATACATTTGATATTTTGATACATGTGATATTTTGATACACGGATACAATGTGTAATCATCAATGTCCTGTGCTTCTTAGAAGCATTCAAACCTCCAGGCATGGCGGCTGTTGTCTGTAATCCCAGCACTTTGGGAAGCTGAGACGGGAGGATCGCTTGGGTCCTGAAGTTTAAGACCAGCCTGGGTAATAGAGGGACCTTGTCTCTACCAAAAAAAAAAAAAAAAAAAAGGGAAAAAAAAAAGCATTCCAACCGTCTGGTAGGACGGGCTCTTAAAACATTCAATTCCAGGCCGGCTGCAAATGTCCAGGATGTGTCTTCCCTCCAGAGATTAGCTTTGTTTCCAAGAGCTCATTAGACTAAGAAAAAAAGCATCTTTGACCCTGCTGGCCAGTCTCTGCACCTCAAGGACAAGTGCGCTCGCACGCGTGCACGTCCTCCTGTGGCCAGGCTCTCCACCTGCGCGTGGCTGCTCCCTCTCCCAGCCTCCAGGCTCTCCACCTGCACGCGGCTGCTCCCTCTCCCAGCCTCCAGGCTCTCCACCTGCACGCGGCTGCTCCCTCTCCCAGCCTCCAGGCTCTCCACCTGCACGCGGCTGCTCCCTCTCCCAGCCTCCAGGCTCTCCACCTGCGCGCGGCTGCTCCCTCTCCCAGCCTCCAGGCTCTCCACCTGCGCGCGGCTGCTCCCTCTCCCAGCCTCCAGGCTCTCCACCTGCGCGCGGCTGCTCCCTCTCCCAGCCTCCAGGCTCTCCACCTGCGCGCGGCTGCTCCCTCTCCCAGCCTCGGGATGGGATCTCAGAGCAGGGTCCAGCTGCAGGGGCCTTCAGGTGCCCCGGGGCCTCTCTTGGTCACAGAGGTCTTACAAGGAGAGAGGAGAGCAAAGAGTGAAACCCATGTCTGTGCGTCTTCCCATGTTCCAGGCGTCCATGGACAAGCCCTGAGACGCACCCTTCTCGGGAGAGACCAGCCAGCCCGCGCGGCCTCCTGCCCACCCCGCGTGGCCGCCACGGGGCGTGTCCCCTTCCCGCCCGGGGAGCACCGTTTCCCAGCCTCACTGCGCCACCGTGTGGCGGCCTCTCACTGTTGCAGCTCCTTCTTCCTCCCCCGCCCTCCCCAAACCAGCACGCTTAGCTTTTCACGGCAATTTTGTGTACATATCCCAGTATATATATATACCCTCTGTCGTCCAGGCTGGAGTGCAATGGCACGATCACGACTCACTGGAGCCTCCACCTCCCTCACTCACGTGATCCTCCTGCTTCAATCTCCGGAGTAGCTGGGACCCCAGGCATGTGCCACTATGCCCAGCTAATTTTTAAATTTTTTGGTACAGATAGTGTCTTGCTGTGTTGCCCGGCTTGGTCTCGAACTCCTGACCTCAAGAGATCCTCTCTCCTCGGCCTCCCAAAGCGCTAGGATTACAGGCAGCATCCCAGTATTTCAAGAACTTGAAGTCTTAAGCAGAGATACCCAGATGGACGTAAGGCCTGAACTGGGCATGTACAGAAAGCAATAAAGGGTTAAGACTGAAAGCCGTAGGTTAGTGTATTTGGGTGGAGATGAGGAAGAAGAAAGAACAGCTGTAAGAATTCCAAATATTTCAAACTGGGCTGGTTAGGAGCCAGGGTGAGAACCTAGTTCAGTCGGTGAGGTGGATTTTGCTGCCCTCTTCAAAAGAGTTTTTAAAAATATAGATTGATTGTGTTTTAGAGACAGGATGTCGCTCTGTCACCCAGGCTGAGTGCAATGTCACAACCATAGCCCACTGCAGCCTGAACTCCTGGGCACATGCAATCTGTCTTCCTCAGCCTCTCAAGTAACTGGGACCACAGGTGTGTGCCACCACTGCCAGCTAATTTTTAAAATTTTTTGTAGGGATGAGGTCTCACTATGTTGCTCTGGCTGGTCTCAAACTTCTGGGCTCAAGCGATCTTCCTGCTTCAGCCTCGAAGTACTGGGATTACAAGTGTGAGCCACCTTGTCTGGCCATGTACTTATCCAAAAAAAAAAGAAAAGAAAAATGCAAAAGCCAGAGTAGAACAGCCTGGATTGTTAGCCTGGGGTCTCCTTGCTTTGTATCCAGAGACCCCCTGGGGAGGGGAAGGGTCAGCCACAGGGCTCCTCCAGTAGGGAGGGGCCAAAGCCTCACAAGGGGAAAGTGCCATCTATCTGTCACCGTGCAAGGAGCGCTGCAGTTCGTGTCGGAAGTCCTGCTCTTCTCCTCACTCCGGGGCCTGGCTTTAAATTTCCGAGAAACTGCAGGGCCTGGCTTTAAATTTCAGAGCTGTCCTAAGGCGTTGCCTGTGTTCAAGCTGTGTCTGCCCTGACTGCCTGTTGTGTACCTTGGTGAGAATGGTGTATTCTTCTTCCCCCAGATATCACTGGTTCTTACACTTTGCTGGTAGCATGGCTTTTGCTTAGAATGCCCTTCTCTCTCCCTCTGTGCCTTTAAATCCTAGCCATCCTCAAGGCGAACTCAAATTTCTTCCATGGGGCTTTTGCAAATCTTCGCAGCTAGGAACTTCCCCTCACCCTCTCTGAAACCCTCCCTGGGACTCCACGGATCCTTCATTTAGGAGCATTATCTGGTGCTTTGAGGTATATTCTGGTTTTTTCATACCTAGTAGGTATTTTGGGGTCCATGTGATATTGTGATCCATGTGTATAATGTGTAATGATTAAGTCAGGGCACTTGGGACGGCCATCCCTCAACACGTATCTTTTCTTTCTGTTGGGAGCATAGAGTATTCTAGTCATGTGTACCTTTACTGTATGTCCCTCACCAGGCATTAAACTCTACGTGTGGACACTACGTTAGATTCATCATCATGCAGTATGCCTAACACTACGCTTTGGCCTTACTGAGTGATGAGCAGACCTCTCATTGATTGAAAAGGAATTTCCTTATTTTTCATAACTCAACTTAAATATAATTTTTTCCAGGCTAGGCGCAGTGGCTCATGCCTGTCATCCCGGCACTTTGGGAAGCTGAGGTGGGCAGATCAGTTGAGGCCAGGAGTTCGAGATCCACCTGGTCAACACAGCAAAACCCCATCTCAACTAAAAATACAAAAATTAGCTGGGCGTGGTGGTGTGTGCCTGTAGTCCCAGCTACTCAGGAGGCTGAGGCATGAGAATCGCGTGAACCCAGGAGGCAGAGGTTGCAGTGAGCCGAGATTGCGCCACTGCACTCCAGCCCAACTCCGTCTCAAAAAATATATGTATTTTTATATAATACATATTTATATATTTTACATTTTTATTTTTATAATATATTTTATATACTTACTTATAATACATTTTTATATTTATTACATATATATACATATATATATAATATCTCCCAGTAAGTCTCCATGAATTCCCCCCACTACCCCAAGGTGGGGGTGACATGCCCTCTCAGTGCTTCTAGAACATGCACTCTTCCTACCACAGTGCCTGTCATACTTATTCCAACGCCTTGTCACTTGCTTTCTCACCCACTGGATGACAAGCGCCTTGCGGAAACAGTATGTCTGTGGGGCCTCCAGAGCCTGTGTTGCACATGGCAGATTGTAGGAACCCAGTGACTATCTGATGAACAAATAGAGAAATGAATCCATGTGTAGATGCATGGAAGCAGGGAAGGGGAGAGGGGCTAAAGATGACCTTTAAGATTGCCTTAAGCTCTAGGATTTTATGATTATAGAGCTTTGAACCCTTTTTTGGGGGAAAGTAGTCCAAGCTATTTGGAAAACAATACAGTGATCATTGTAGAGTCAGGTGGCAATTTTTCTTCCAACGGACACTGTTTGCTTCCAGAGGGGGTGGGGGTCTGCTCCTCCCATTCTATGGGGAGTTGCATGTTCCCTGGGCTGAGCATGGCCCAGCACTTGGCAAGATCTCTGGGGCGTTCATTTTTGTCACCCAGCCCTGGTAGGAGGGTGGATGGGTGGGAGGGGAACTGTTTTGGGAAAGAGTGCTGGGGAGTGTTTGTGTGTGTGATGAGTCAGGGCCCGGAGCTGGGAGCCTTCCTCTCTGCTGGCTCTCTGTGGGGGTAGTTCTCACCAGTCACCGGGAGGGTAGAGGATCACCAACTGTCTTCGGAAAGTTTGGAAAGTTTTCTTAGTCATTACGCCAAGTCAGCTGGAGCTTTATGTAACGGGGACAAGCAGAGGTATGATGGCGTCAGAACGGCTGCTCCTCTTTCGGCAGCAGCTCTCATCCATCCCCTCCTAACTGCCAGGGCAGTGACCGGCCCTACATGTAGGATGTGGCATTTGGGGGCTAAGGGTCCCTGCTGTAGATGTCTGATTCCCGCTGGGAAAGACTTGGGTTGTCTCAGAGAAGCCCTCGGGAAGGGCTCAGTACACTCTCGGGGGTGCTCCACCCTCCTTTTGTTCTTCGACATCACGTGGGGGGTGAGAATCAACCCAGGCTCCCCAGCACTCGGGACTCTGGTGCCTGAGCCGGAGTCTCAGAAGCCCCGCTTCCCTGGCTACAGTCCCCGCTCCGGTGCTGCTGGCCGAGGCAGCCCATCTCCACTCTCTTATCTCCTCGCTCTCCAGACACTGGGAGATGCATCATCGGGTTTCCTGTCTCTGACACTGAAGTCAATTTGCCTATCACAATTTGAGTTCTGTCAATGACAGCTCCAGATAAGGCCTGAAATGATATATGTGTGTGGACATGCGTTCGTTCGCGCATGTAAACGGAAAGAGATACAAAGAGAAGGAAGGATGGGAAAGGAGAGGTTTAGGGTCTGGGAGGAGCAAGGATGATGGTGACTCACCTGGCTGAGGAGACCAGGGCCACTGAGAAGAAACAGCAACGCCCCGAGGTCTGTGGAGAGTTGTGGGGCCTTCCACAGGCCTCTTCCAGGCAGCCGAAGGTATCTTAGAGAAGCTGGGGCTTGTCCTCCTTTGTTGCTTGCAGGGAGGAAAGTACCCCAGGTCCAAGAACTGCTGGGGCCGGAAGCTTTGGAAAAGCTGAGAAGGAGCATTGTTTTGGTTGGGAAGCAGAGCGCTAAGGAGTAGCATGGCTGCAGCATCACACCGGATGACTTCCCAGAACAAGAAAGAACAGATGCAGTTGAGAAATTAAGGTAAGAAATGAGGATATATTTCCTGACAGTGAGGAGGGCTGCCTGACCCAGTGGCCCCAAAAGAGAGTTTCAGAATCAGGCCTCTAGTCATCGAGCACAGACTGAACAGCAGGAGGGAGAGCTTCACAAGGAGAGGTCGGCAGGGCAGGACGAACTGGTGGTTCTGCGACCTTCCAGCCCCACGTTACAGCTCTGGTCCTTCCTCCATGTCAGGAAGTTGTGCGGACACCAGAGGCCTCCTGGAGGCCAGAGGGAGAAACCAGAAGGGAGGACCACAGAGGGCGCTTGAGATGGAGTGGGACCAGAGCAAGCGGGGCAGGGACGCGAGGATGTTTGGGAGAGAGGCTGGAGAGTTTCATACCGGGGCTGGTTTCAGATCCATCTCCGGATGGGTGGGGACAAAGGTGGTGGGAGAGGTGAAGAAAGCAAGATGAGACATAGGGGCCTGGGGGCAGGGCGGTGCACAACAGGACCTTCTGGCCATGGAATTGAGAGGCCAAGCTGAGTGGAGGCTGGAGCTGTCCATGAACCCAGTAAGGAAGGAAGGAAGGAGAGAGGGCTGGGAAACGAGGGAGAAACAGCAAAGTTCCCCAGCGCACCACCAGGTGCCAGGCAGGGACAGCGTGGAGACGGCTGGAGGCTGCAGCCCTGGGCAAAGGCAGGGTTAAGCTTTGTCTGAAATGAGATCTTTATTTAGGCAGTTGCCTTCTGCCTCTGGGCTTGTGTTAAGACCATGGCAGGCTCTATTCCCATCCTCACAGGCTGAGCCCCACGTCTCTGGAATGTCATGCCCTCCCACAGCTTCTTGCCTATTCCCATAGTGTTGGGACAATTTTTGTTGTTTCCAGTAGATTATGTAGGACTTGAGGAAAGTCTAAAACAAGCCCTAGCCCATGGCACTTAGCGCCTATCTTTGATCTACGTCCACCTTGCCCTCTTCTTGGCTTGGATCTGTTTGTGTGATTGATGACTCAAGCAAGGCCCTCCTTCCTCGGTCTACAGCTGTTCCTGCCTCTTCCTCGTCCCTAGAATCCACAAATCCAGCCATGGTGTCTCAACTGCATTGCTGGGTTTCCTTACTGGTCAGCTTCTAAGAGTAGAGAAGGCACCAGGGCAGAGAAGTTATGCCCAAAGCCATCAGAACCGCACTGCCCAGGCTGAACGCAGGATTCGCACCTGCCAGCGGTGGCCCTGAGCAACTCACAGAACGCTAGGGAAGGCTGGGAAGAGCGTTTACCTTGGAGAGGAGCTGTGAGGACTGGAAGCCAGCATGCATGGAACGTCATCTTTGCTCTGTGGCTTTCCATGTGGGAAGCTCTCAGACTGTGTGCTCTCACGTATGTAATCATACTTGCCCTAAACACAGACAGCGCATTCCAGCGATGCTAGCCGCCTCCCTCCTGTACCAAGAACAGCCCATGCTCAGCCCCAGTTTTATGCACATAAACGTCCTCCCACCTCCGGTACAGCTACTCACACTCCCCCACCTTGAGGCCGCACTAAAGTGCCGCCTCCTTCCCAAAGCCTTCCTTGATCATCCCAGCCCACACAGATCTCTTCCTGCTTTGCCTCATTGTGCTCCAGCCAGTGCCTTGAAATGCAACATTTCCATCACAGAATTCTCCCATTTGGGAGCTGGAGGGGTCCTTAGAAATGGCCAGTGAGTTGCTCTTAACCAGAAGGGTTAACAAGTGGAAGGTACATCCCTGTGACATCCCGGTGGCACCTACCGTCCGCCTCACTGGTTGGCCACCACAGTCCTGCCAGGCTTGCTGCTGCCTCAGAGTCCTCCTCAGCACAGTGCTCCAGGCGTCAGTCCCCACCGATCAGATGTGCCACCCACAATCCAGGCAATGAGAAGTTGTCTAGAACTTGGTGTGGCTGGAGCTTTTGGAGGTACAGGCACCTGCTTCAGGCCCAAGGCCTGGGGATAGAACTCTGGTCTTACCTCTGTCCAGGGCTCCTCAGACTACACCAGGGGCCTCTTGAAGACTTTTCTACTGTTCTCTGTCTGTGAGTCTTGCCTTCCCAACCGGAGAATTCGAGCTGTGATATTTGTGGGGATGTCCCCTGCAGTGCTGAGCACCAGACGGGACACGTCGCATGCTCACCGGCTCATGTACTGACTGCTTGGAGCTTCCCCCAGCTCCTCTAACTTGTGTTCAGAGCTCAGTCAAAAGGGCAGCGGGAGTTGGGGTGGCATGGAGGCTCAGTCTCTCTGCTGGTAGATAAGTCTGCCAGGACCTCCCCGGTACCTCCTCTCTGCCCACAGCAGCCACAGATACTCTGAACATGCTGAAAGATGAGACGGGGTCTGGATATCAGGAGCCCAGAAAGATCATCTTTGTCCTGCAGCTCAGTGGCTTGGCCTCAGGAGGCCATCTTCCGGGCCTCACTGGTCTTCCTTCAGAGGGAGCTGCAAGGGAAAGGAGGGAGAGATGGTGCCGTTGGATGCCCGCCTCTCTTGGGCACTGATGGGCAGGGTGAGGGTCTCTTGAAGGGTGGTCCCCCTTGAGTGGGAGCAGGTGGACTGGAGGGGCACGGCTCACGTGAAGGTTGGTGGAGGAGCTTCCCCCAACCTGGGGCCCTGGAGGACACAGTCCCAAATGGAGTCTTCTCCCCTGTGCTATTGAAAGGCGGCATTACCATCTGCTCAGGCCCACAGGCTGGAAACTTTAGGGTCCCCCAGTGGCCCCAGGCCTGTCCCTTCCTTCCTCTAGACCTCAGCAGGTTCTCCTGCTCTCTTCTTGCCAAGACCCTGGAATGTGCGGCCTCATGGTCTTGCTGCAGACCCAGCCCTCCTTCCCCCCAGTCTCATCTGCAGGTCTGCAGTGCCCCTGGCTGAGCTTTCTAGACATGTCACAACATTGCCAGATTTTTCTTTCTGAAACTTAGATTTTATGACGTCATTCCCTGCTTGAAAATCATGGTCACTGCACTGTCTTCAGGAGAAGGTGAAACTCCCCAGCCCAGGCCTTCTCAGCCTCTGTGCTCTCTGCATTCTGGGTGGGCTCTGCTCTGCTGCGGGGGCTGCCCTGTGCAAGGTGGGTGCTTAGCAGCACCCTGGCCCTACCCACCAGGGACCGGGAGCAGCCTCCTCCCACTCCTGCAAGCTGTGACAACCAAATATGTCTCCAGCCACTGCCAAATGACCTCCGAGGGGTAAAATTGGTTGAGAATCACTGTGGTAGCCTATAAAATAGGATAATAATAACTAATGACAATGCTTACTTACTCAGCTCTGTGCTAACAGCTTTCCATGAGGTCTCTCATTTGATCTTCAGAACATCTCTATGGGGAAGGCCCTATTAGTATCTCCATCTCACAGATGCTCAGAAGGCAGAAGGAGTCCAGATCTTTCAAGATGCAAAGACATTTTCCTGCCGTGTGGGGTAAGAAGAGAGGTAGATAATTCAAAATCACTTGTCCTTCAGGCAAGAGCCACAGAGCCGGAGGCCAGTCAGGCAGGCTTGAGCTCCCGTCCGTCTGCTGGCAAGATCTGAGTTCTCACCATGAGCCCCTGTCCCGCTTCCCAATACAGCACTTTCATGCAGGCCAGTTCCCTACCTGAGAAGTTCCTCTTTGACCTGGGGAGATCTGTTCATTATTCAGGGCCCAGGCAAAAGCCCCCTGTCCTGTTCTCTGCGAAGGCCCCCAGGCCCCAGGAGGAAGAGAGCATTATCCCTCCTGTGTGGCTCATGCCCACACGCAGCCTAGTCCAGTCCTGCAATGGCTAATTGTGCAGGCATCTTCTTCTGTGCCAGCCTATCTTGGGGCAGGGGTCTGGGGGTGGGGACTCTGGCTGGTCCTCCTTCATAATGACGACATGGAGTGCCTTGCACAGAGCACTAGACCCCCAAATGTGTGTGGAGTGGAATGCAGTGGGCAGTAGGCAGGTAGTGGCTCCCTCCAGGAGCTGATGCTGAGCCCACTGGACACCAGGAGCCACAGGGCCTCCCGGCAGGTGAGGGAGTCTGAGGGCCCCTCCTCTGGGTTGACGCAGACCCTCAGCAGAGGACATGGCTTAAGGAGCAACACATGGCTATGTTTTGGCCACCTTGGCTGGGGTCTCTGAGCCGTGCATAAACTGCAGACTCGGGGGATGATGAGGCTTAGAGCTTGCCTTGGTGTCTGGAGTAATGAAGGCTCGTGTTCTCTCTCACGCAGGCTTCTAAGAGTATGTGCGTGCAGGCACGTGCCACTGTGGGTGAGTGCACAGCATGCGTGCTGTGTGGAAAGAGAGGCTGTGGGTGCCTTTCCCAGGCATGCAGCATCACTGAGGCACTGGTCATAGGCAGCATTTGTGCATTTCTGTTCTGCGACACTGGGTTGCACACACGGTCCTGTCTACACAGAGTCAGGAACCCACCAGCACTCTAGAGCCTTGAGGAGTGCAGTCTGCTCCCTGCCCCACATTGGACCTAGGCAGACGGCAATCCGAGCTCGCTCTCCCTTCTTCCTTTTTCCAGGCTAGAGGAACGGAGCTCACACAGCATTTGACCCCTGCCTGGCCTCTCTAAGCAGTTGCCAGACCCCACATAGCTAGATGACCACTGGACTGGGGAGGGGGTCTCGCCCAATGGTGGTGGGCAGGTGGGATGGGCTGAATGAGTCCCAGGAGAAGCCAAGGGCAGAAGCTGGCACTTCTTGCTTCCTATTGACAATCAGCAGAGAAAGGCCTTCCCAAGAAGAAGTCACAATTTTTGGATGAGTGGCTGAGCAGAGAAGAAACAAGGCACAGGGGCTGGGGCCATTCCCCAAGATAGGCCCGGACTGTGCCTGTGGCCATGTGCTCATGGGAGTGTGCCCGCCTGGGTCGTGTGAGGCAGGGGCTGGGGTGGGGAGGCAGTTATACTTGTGAAGTATGCATAGTGGGTAGCTGTACACCAGCCCACGTGAAGAGAGTGTAGGCTGGAGTCTCCAGGGACGTTTCTGGCCTCAGTCCTGCTTGCATGTGTGCATGGGGTGCGTGTGTACATACCAGAATAAGAGCATGTGTGCCCTGTCTGTGTCAGTGTGTCCCTGCTGTACACACATACACTCCCTGTGCCTTCATCTCTGCACTTTCAGGAGTACCCACCTCTGGGCCCAAGCTTTAGATTAGCAGACACACACGGCATTCATGGTCTCCAGACTCCTCTACGTTTGAAAAGAGACAAGGGGAAAAAAGGGCCAAGAGACAAGATGAGCTAAAAATAGCCGAATATAAGCTCTTCAGATCAGAAAGCTCCCTATTTTAGTGAGTCACCAGTTTTCCAGACTGAACATGCCCGCACGCACGCACACACACATGCAAACACAAACACCGACATCCCGCCAAGTCACGCCTGCATTGCCGAAGATGCTCTGGGTCCCACACACCCTGTGCTCTGTGCTCACAAGGTAAAACCCTCCAAACGTGGTGATTCTCTGGTCTCTGCTGACTGCTCTCTTGTTGAACTTGGAAGGCACAAACTATTCCCCAGTCCCCTGCAAACACATATGCACTTTCATCTCCTCCTTCTCAGCCCCTTCTGATTTGTCTGTACTTCCTAACCCCAACCCCACTCTGCTTTGTAATGGTTGGCAGCAGAGGATGGTCTTTCTGTCCTACTAAGGGTTACGCTATGTTTTTCAGGGGGCCCTGATGCTGGAGAGGTCAGGTAGCTCTCTGCACAGCATCTCCGGAGCTGGCCCTTGTGTTCAGGGAAAGGAGACAGCTCCGGACGCCATGCAAGATTTATGAATGTGCTTTGTTAATTGCATTAGTGGCTCTGTGGGAGGATGGCGTGTGCTTTGGCCCTAAACAAGGTGAGCTCAAAAGCGGCAGTGGGAGAGGAGACAGGAGCTAGGCTGTGTGTATGGGCACCTGCCATCCTGGGCTGTATGGGCCTCCCTGCCCTCTGTTCCCCACGCTCTTGCTGAAGCTGGGGCTCTGTGCCTGCCCCTCTGAGCTCCTGAGCTCTTGTCTCCATTGCTGCTCTGACCGGCCTTCCCCTCCTTGGCTCCTTGAGTTGAGAGAGAGGCCAGTCTGGCAGTCGTCTTCGATAACTCTGTTTCTCTTTTTCTTTCTCTCTTCCTCTTTCTCCCTCCTTCCTACCTTTTCTCTTTCTCTTTCCCTTTAAATCCTTCCCTCCATCTTCACCCACCTTCACCTCTGTCTTTGTGAAATCTAAATCTGCTTTACTCTAAGCGTTTCAATAACTCAGGCTCCACAGGCCCTCAGGTGCCCCCGGCCCTGCTCCTATACCCCCGTGGTTTCCCGACAGACCTGCCTGCTGTGGCTGCACACCGCTGGCCTCTGGGGCTCCTGCTCCCTGGGATCAGCCGGGCGTCATGTTCTTGCACCTTTTCAGGAGATGACAAAGTGTGGGCACGCAAAGGGTGAATGTGGCAGCTAGAGAGGGTTCACCTACAATTCGAAGCCAATCCGAGGGACGGGCTCAAGGAGCCCTGGGTCTAGGCCACGTGGTGCGTCCAAGGTTCTGATGAGCTCTTCGAGAAGGTGGGCCCTAGGCCACGATGCCCATCTCACTCGGGGCTGCCCTCCTGCATGGCAACCCTGGCATCTTACTTCCTCTTCCTCAGCCCCTTTGTGCCCTGTCTGGGCTGAGCCTCGGCCATGGATATGGCTGGGGGCATGGGCTCTTCACCCAGGCTCACCAGGTAGAATCCGCTCATATCCTCTGGCTGTGGGAGTTCATGCCTCTGGGCCTTCATCTCTTCAACTGTCAAAGGGAATAATAATACCTACGTCACGGGGTCCTTTGACATCTGCAGAGCTTGAAACAGTGTCTGATAAGCACTTCATAAATGTTAGATATTGGTGCGTGACCCAAGTCAGCCTGACCAGCCTTTCTGTGCCCCCCTTTCCCCTCAGAAACACAGGGATGAGAAACTCTATTTCCTTCATAAGGGAGTTTCTGGGGTGAAAGAGATCAGAGCTGAAGGCAGTCCCAAGCCCTACCTTCCCTGCCCCTATCTCACCTAGTCTTTGCCCATGGGGGCACTTGTCTCTGGCCCCACCTTCTGTCTCCCAAACCCTCCACCCCCGCCTGTGAGTCCTCTTCGGAGCCCTGGCCCAGCCTGAGCTGGACATGGGTGGAGAGGAGACTATTTTTAGCCCCAGACAGAAGCAGCAGCTGCACAACTGCCTCTCCGAGCTTGCCTGTCCACGGGGGGTTCAGCTAACGGGGATGAGGCCGGTGGGGGAGGGCAGGAAGGCTGGCCTAGCCAGGGGCCCTGAGAACCCCAGCTTCCTCTCAGGAAAGGAGCCTTTTCTGTCCCAGGATGAGTTGCCCTCCCCACCTGCCTCCGGCATCTTAATCCCCAGTGATTTAGCAGCTGAGCTGTGGAGGCTGTAAAGTGGGGCAGGAGGGGAGGATCAAAGGGAATCCACAGAGAGGGGAGGAACCGGAGCCCAGCCCAAGGCTAGTCTGCCTGGTCCTTGCCACACTGGGAACTTCTCTTCTAGTCCCTGAGAACTCAGGCTCCCTAGCTGCAGGCTCTCAGACAGTGAATTTTTAGTCCTGTTCTGTTTTCAGGCATTCACGTCACAAGGCAAGCTGAGCACATCCACCTGTGCTTTCTGGGAGCTCTGCGTCTGCATAGAAAGCAGTGGGCTTCCCAAAGGTGCTGGGCAGTCGTGGGGTTCAACACAAACTGCGTTTGATTGGGACTTGGGGTTTGGCTGGACTGCCTTGATTTCCCCAGGGCGATCCGTCTTTAACATGAGACAAAAAAGGTCCTGAATGTCAACACTGAATTACAAAGTCATTCTTGCAATTCTTACATCAGGGTTTCCCTAATGATGGCTATTCTCATGACTGCTGGAGACCAGGCAGGAGTGGGCATGGAAAGAGAAGGGCTGTGCAGACTAACAAATTAATCACATGTGTGTTTGCACCTGAGATTGCATCCAGGCACTGATCCAGGATCTAAGGATACTTTAGTGAAGAAAAAGACTAGAGCCCTGTCCTTGAGGAACTTGCACTCTGGAGCATAGAAGCTCTTTCATGTTGCAAAATATATGCTCTTAAATCTAGGAAACAATCCAATGCTTTCAGGTCTCTGAATGCTGCTAAGGTGCCCAGCAGCTCATTCCTAAAATCTGATTTCTCCCCAGCCTAGGTTCTTGTTGCTTTAAGGAAGTGATTCTCAATCTCTTCCATGCTGTACATCTCTTTGTAAATCAATTAACGCTGTGAACCCTTTTTCAGAAAAATGTTCAGAACACAGAAACAGTCACAAACCTGCCTGCCATTTGAGGGACTATGAGCTCCAGGAGACTCACACAGGGACCGTGGCTTTAGAACTCCTAAGTGTGGGAGGCAGCTGCCGCCTGCACTGCTCCGTCACCGCATTTCCCAGCAAGAGCTATGCAGCTGAATTTCAATCACAGTGCTGCACCAGTGTGGATTAGAAGGAGCTGGCCACTCGAAAATTTGAACAAAAAAAAAAAAAAGTTTAAATTCTACCAAACTGTAGACAAACCTATTTGCAAAACCCCTAACAAGTTATCATCTCCGTGTGGTCCCAGCGGAGCTCTGACCTTGGCCAAGTCCCTTCCTTGCTTTGGATCTCAGCTTTCTGGTTTGTGAAACGAGGGGGCGGAGGGAGCAGCGCTGAGGCCCCTTCCAGCTCTGCAGTGCCTCGAATTCTAAGTTGCTGGTGCGTCTTTGACTGAGGGGAAACGGGGAGAAAGTGCCACCTGAGGTGCTGGCCTTTCCTGGGAAGAGCTCCCCGCCGCCTGCTGCGCGTCCCGCGCCTCCGCCCGGCCCCTGCCGACCGCTCTCCCCTCCGCGGCGCAGGATGCCGGCCTGGCTCCGGGATTGAGCAGAGGCTGCCTCGGCGCTGGCGGGTTACCGCTTCATCAGTCTCGGTTCCACGGGGGAGGGCGCAGCGCGGCCCGGCACCCAGACGCGGAGGAGAAGGGGGGCTTTTCTGTGCGAGCGTGTGGGTGTGCCAGGCACATGTCTGGGAAGGGGTGCTGGGGCCACCCTGCTCGGAGGAGACCCGCCCCTGCAGCGCCCCTACCCCTCCTCCCCTGCAGCGCCCCTACCCCTCCTCCCCTGCAGCGCCCCTACCCCTCCTCCCCTGCAGCGCCCCTACCCCCGCCCCCCCGGCTCTCTGGTTGGGAGGGTGGAGAGGAGCAGAGCAGGCAGCCCGTCTGCAGCGAGGCGGGGGTGGGGGGTTGGGGGCCTGGGGGGTGGGGGGCGCGGGGAGAATGGGGTTAAGGCCAGTGTCGCTCTCGAGGGGCAGCCCCGGTGTCGTCTCCACCCCTCCCACGCTGAAGCCGTCCAGCCGAGCTGTGGCATCAGCGCGAAGGGGTGGGCCCCGGACCGGGTTTTCGGCTTGGCGGTGGGGTGGGGGTGGGGGGCTAGAGACTGCAGGCTCCGAGGGACCAGAGCTGTTGACTCCAAGTCCCTCCTTTGAAATCCATGCCATCTTTTCCTTCCTCTTTCCCGGGGCCTCCTCAGCACCTCCAGGCCAGAATTTAAATGTTATTAGCGGCAATTGATCTGCTGGGGACTGAGGTTTCGGGTCTTCTGCGGAACTGGGAGGAGCGTGGATGGAGAAGGCGGTGCTGCACCGTGGCACAGGCTTGGCCGGGGCTGCCTGGCTCTGAGCAGGCTCTTGGGACGGCCCTGTAAGAACCCCACTGCAAGAAGAGCGCAGAAGCACCTGAGTTGGCGTCTCAGCAGGGACCCCCCCCCCAGGAAATGCCCTTCTACAGTTGGTGCTCAAGCCTCTTTACACACTTAGCCATCGCTATACACAGTCCACGCTACCCACACCCACAAGCTTATGCTCACGTGCACAGATTTTGTGTTTTTTTTTTTTTTTTTTTGAGACGGAGTTTCGCTCTTGTCGCCGAGGCTGGAGTGCAATGGCGCCATCTCAGCTCACCGCAACCTCCGCCTCCTGGGTTCAAGAGATTCTCCTTCCTCAGCCTCTCGAGTAGCTGGGATTACAGGAGCATGCCACCACACCTGGTTAATTTTTGTATTCTTAGTAGAGATGGAGTTTCACCACGTTGGTCAGGCTGGTCTCGAACTCCTGACCTCAAATGACTCGCCCACCTTGGCTTCCCAAAGTGCTGGGATTATAGGCATGAGCCACTGAGCTCGGCCTCACCTGCAGATTCTTGAATCTATGTGTATAATGCTTCTCTTACAGTCATCTGGCAAACATGTACAGACCCTGCTCACATTTCCACGTAACCATCCTCGTCTTCCTTTTCTTTGTTTCTTTTCTTTTTTCTTTTTTTTTTTTTTGAGACAGAGTCTGACTCTGTCGCCCAGGCTGGAGTGCAATGGCCGGATCTCAGCTCACTGCAAGCTCTGCCTCTCGGGTTTAAGCCATTCTCCTGCCTCAGCCTCCCGAGTAGCTGGGACTACAGGCGCCGCCACCTCACCCGGCTAGTCTTTTGTATTTTTTTAGTAGAGACGGGGTTTCACCGTGTTAGCCAGGATGGTCTCAATCTCTTGACCTCGTGATCCGCCCGTCTCGGCCTCCCAAAGTGCTGGGATTACAGGCTTGAGCCACCGCGCCCGGCCCTCCTCTTCCTTTTCTATCCTTTGGGTCCGCGCATTTGCCATCCATACATGTTACCGGATACAGTTAGCTGACACATAATGATACACCTTTTCCTAGCACATCCATGTAAACACACACAATGGATCTACATAGGTACAGGCCTAAAGCAGAACACACATCCTACATGACATGTACACACGTGCACATGGAAACGACAGCCTTCACAGGGTCTGCATGTGCGGGCCGTGCCCCGGTCCTAGGCACATAGGCCAGGCGACAGTCCACTTCATCACACAATTGCCTGCTCTCTTTTCCTCACTCCTTCCTCAAGCAGCTGTCCGTGGGGGAGAACCTCTGCCCCTAGCCACTACCGTGTCTCTTCATTCTGAGTTGAGCATGGGAAACCGTGTGATGTAGGGAAGGATGGTGATACCAGGCCTCTGGGAGTCTGGGCTGTCAGCTTAGCTGGCTTCATAACACACTATTTTGCTCATTTATTTTTGTATACCTTCACATGCCTTGTGAAGCCTTCCAGAAATAGATGTTCAAATCCTACCTCAGTTTCCTCATCCATAAAATGGATTAAAATACTATCTGCTTTATCTCCATTATGGCAATGTTATGGGAATACAATTCAACATCTAAGAAAGCAGCCTGCAAAGTGTAATATGCATGATGCTGTAGGCTATCAGGGTGTGTCAAGAGCTGGCAAAGTCGGGGCAGCATTTTCCTGCTGTGAATCAGGCCTGTGCTGGTCAGTCTTGCTGAGACCCTAGACCAGGGCTTTATGATTCGCTGCAGGAATCTCACCCTCTCCTTTCCTCCGCCAGTGTCACCCTCATCCTCACTTTTGTCTGTCCCAGACATGTGGCTACAGAGCCAACAGCTTGGGGAGGGCTAAGAGGGCCTTAGCACTGAGCGGAGCATCTGCCCTGGGCACGTGGGCACACAGAGACTTGGCTCCCAGGCTTTTCTGAGCGCTTGCACCTGGGAAAGCTCCTCTCTGCTCCTGGGCACTGGGCCTGTGCCAAGCAGCTGAGTCCAAACAAGAGGCCCTGTGGTGTGGTGAGTTCCACAGACCGGCTGGGGCTGGTTCCTGCACGTGTATTACCCTGGGCAGGCACAGGGCTGTCGGAGGAAACCCCCAATAGCACCTACACATCTATGATGGCAGAGGAGGACCACATTTTTGCCTAGTCCGGAGACCTCAATGCTCCACGCCATGGTGGCTGGTACGTGTGAGGGTAGCCACGGAGGAGGGGAGGCAGGAAGCTGGGGCCAATGCCAGCATCGGAGGGAGGCCAGCAGTTGGCACAGGGCTGGCTTATGTCCAGCAGGAGCATGTGAGAGGTGAAGGCGCCATTCTGCAGGAGGGCTGGCTGGCCTTGGGGCTTAGAACAGGCTCCAGTTCAGTGCAGAGCCTTTATTCCTTTAGCTTAGCATGAACAAACCCAGGGTGGTGCTTACCTCCCTCAGTTTTACTCTTCCCTGGAGTGGCATTCAGAGAAGAAATTCCACTGGGACGCCTGGTACTTGGTACTGCAGATGAACATTTCTGGACATGCTAGGTGAGGGGAGAGGCTGAGGCTGGGGTCCCAGGACCCTGGGTTCCTGTAAAACCTCAGGGCTCCTTGAAGTGAATGTGGGAACAAGCGTGGATGGGTGGAAGAGGGCCTATCCCCTGCCAGGCCCTGCTCTCTGCAGAGGTGACTCTGAGTGACCCCCTCCCTCCTCCAGCTCTGCAGCAGCTCCCGGTTTCCAGCAGGGCTGGCCAGGAAGCCGTGGCCAAGAGGGAGCTGGGAAGACAGGGCCCAGAAGTCAGACCAGTCGGGGGTGGAGCCTGCAAACTCTGCAAAGCTCTAGTCTGGCTCCACCCCTTCCCTGCCTGAAGCTCAAAAGGATGACATCACCCAGACTGAGGGCTCCAGCCTAGATGGGCTTCATTAGCAGGGAAAGCCGGCACCTGCGGGGTTCAAGGACTTCCCGGGTTTGCGGGAGGCAGTCCTCCGCTCCCCTTCTGAGTCTGGTTCAGCTTGAGGGGTCTCTGCTCTGAGACTTGGAGACAGCACCTGGCTATTCAGGCTTCCAGGTCTAGGGCGATGTTTCTTCTACCAGAGACCAATCTCTCGGGCACCAGCATAAGCACTCTTCCTTCCACCCTGCCAAGTGCTGCTTCTCCTTGCCAGCACTAGCTGCAGCTCCATTTTTCTGAGGCTCCGTGGAGAAGGATTAGATCACTGATTCTAACCAGGCAGAGTCAGCCCACAGCAAACCTAATGTCCCCCTCCCTGTGGGCTCATGTACCCTCCCCACCCCCCAAACCCTACTGGGTGCTTGTGTTGCCTGCTTGCAAAGCATATGCTTGGCTGCTTGCTTGGTGTCTGCTGTTTATCCGTCTCTTCCTACTGAACTTCTGTTTCTTCTTGGCCCATCTGGCTCTTGTGGTGCCTGTCTTTTGCTCGGATTGCGCCTGCAATCGACGCTGTACTCCCCACCCGCTTCCCCTCTACCCTCTTCCCTCTCAGGGCTTGCCTCTTGTCCACTTTGAGGCCACCGGCAGGCACCCCTGACCTTGGGTGTGGGACCAGCGAGGACTATCCCAGGCACAGTGGGGAGCCTGATGTCGGGGTGTCCCTGTAGTGTTCTGGGGATGTCCTTTGTGAAGGGGCTTGAGGGGGTGTGGAGGGCAGTGTGGGAGTTGCCTTTGGACTGGGGCGAAGGCTAGGTCCTGGTGGGAAACTCCCTCTCCCCAGCCCTCTGAGCTTCTTGGGGTGGGGACACTGCTCACCCCAGACTGTTGCAGAGTGATGGGAAAATGGCCTGTGGGTAGCAGCTGGAGAGAATGAGGTCAAGGAAGCCCCAAGGCTCCTCTGACCCAAAACCCAGGGTCCACTCAGATCCTTTCCGCTCAGAGGAGGCTGTGGCAGTCTGGGGGCATGGGTGGCGGCAAGGGGCTGCCGATGCTGACATCCAGGCAATGGGGAGGAGAGGGGTCTGGGCACGGCAGCTGTGCCAGCAGCGCTGCCGGGGATTTGTCCCCACCCCACCTTGTCCTAGCCTCTTGGTGCTAGTTCCCACCCAGCCCAGACATTTCTCCCCCCTCGCCCCTCCCACAGCGTGCACACCCCTGCACATGCTCCCACCCGAGGAAGAGCGAAGCACACTGCAGAGGTTCACACTCACCCTCCAACGCAGCCTGCTTCCGGGCGTGATGTGGCAGCTCATGGCTTCCCTGGGATTCACGAGGCCCTGGGATGCAGACGGAGCAGGTGGGTGGAGCCTGGAGGAGGATGGAGGAGAAGAAGTGGAGCCCCTGTGGGGCAGGGTCGCCATTCGTCTGCCTCTCTGGACCAGGGTTGCTCCTCCAGGCTAAGGCTGGCTGCCCAGGAGGCTGTGCTGGGCCTGGAGTCAACAAGGATGCACGTGCTGGGGGCCATCAGCTGCTGCTCCCATATAAGCATCTGCTCCCACCAAACCCACAGGGCTTGGCTGCCAGGCCTTGCTGTGTGCCCACTCCGTGGCTCTGTTCTTTGTCTCTGTTGTTCCATCTGCCTGCTCCACCGGCTGCCTGGCTCAGCTCCTCTCGGCCTCTTTATTTCTCTCGGAATCTTCTTCCTGCTCCTCATGTCGCCTCATCCTTCTCCCTGTCTCTGTCCCTGGCACATTCATGCCCTGGTGTCCGAGACCTTCTTTCCTCCTCTGGCCTTATCAGTCATGCCTCTGTGTGCTTCTCTGCGTTCGCCCCATGTTCATTCTCCTGCTCTCTCTCTTGCTTCCTCTCATGCATATTCAGTAGCTCCTTGAAAACCCACCTAGCTTATTCTGCGTGTTAAATGCCTAGATCTGCTTCAGGCGTGAGACTTTTTAGCCTCTAGCTCTAGGACGCCACCTCAGATCACAGTCTGTACTAATTGTGTAGAGGATGTTGGGGAGCCCACCTACCTTCCACCCAAACGTGGCTCACTCTGCATGGTCTCCTCTTCTGACTTGAGACAAGGCAGCCCCGAGGTGCGTCAGGCCCACAGCACAAGCCATGGCGCATAGGAGGACGAGGACGAGGACAAGGACGAGGACGTCTCCCCTTAAAGATCCCAGGGCTTCAGTCCTGGAAATAAACATAGGATCCAAAGTGTCTTCATCCTTTGGTGCTTTTACGGTCCTTTTACATCCGCTCTATTATCCCCTTACCACTCCGTGGGAGGGTATCAACGAAACAGCTGTGGTGTTCAGACTAGCAGGCACTCCACCAGTGCTGCCCAGCGTTTGAGGAACAGAGCTGGCATCAGAAACTTGGCTTCTGAATTTTCAACCCTTGTCTGTGGCAGGTGAATGGACAGAAAGAGTCTAGAAAAACGCAGAAAGTGGCAACTGAGGGACAAGAGGACTGAGAAGCAGAGCAGAGCCTGGGCTCAGCCCCCAGGGGAGGGTACAGAGATGAGGGAGATGCAGGAAGGCAGGAGAGGGCATGAGTGGCAGGCATCCGGCACCTTCCGCCACCTGTTTCCACCAGCTTTTAGTTCCATGCCGACCACCAGTGTTAGGAAGAGAGGACTGGGGTGCTTGCCCTCACAGGTGAACTCACGTGTGGTGTCACTCCCCAAGCCCCTGTGGCTTCTCCATCTCCGCTCTCCGCCCGGTTACCTGGCCTCATGGTCTCTTCTCTGCTTCCGTCTTCTCTCTCCTTCCCACCTGCAGGTCACCTGCCTACCTTTCCCCCTCATCCTTGGGGCCCAGTCCTTTCCTCTGCCCCAGTCCCCTCCCGTCTTTCCCGTCCACTGGCCTCTCATGCTCCCCGCCTGCCTCCTCCTAAGCCCCGCCTGGCATTTGTCTTCTCCCTGCCGAAGGAGCCAGTGTAGGCTCGAGGGAGCAGGGTGGTCACAGTTCTTCACACTCCTGACCGTGGTCTGAGCCCCCAGGGAGCTCCCACGCACCTCTCCCTTACCAACACTGGGGGCGCTGTAGGCTCGGCCCCCACCCCACGCATACCTGCCGCAGGCTGCTTTCCAGCCCTTGCAGACTCACGAGGGGCCTCATTCTGGGACACTTTGGCAGCTGTGGGGTCGACACACCTCCTCTTCTGCAGGGAGGGCTCCCGACACTTCCGTCCTCTACCTGCACAGCCAGCCTCCATTAACCACACACCACAGCCAGACTGGAGACTCCACTTCTGTCTCCCTGACGTGGTTTTTCCTCCACCGCCAGCTGCTTCCTAGTTTTTACTTGAGGCTCCTGGGACATTGTCCTAATTTTGTCTTCATTTTTCTTTGTATTTGTCCAGGAAAAAAAAAAAAAAACAACCCTAAGAAACTCTTGAAACTACACTATGTGTTTTAAATCCTTGATCCCACCACAGAGGACTCTAACGTTGGCCTGGGCCACTTTGCCTGGTCCCCAGGTCAGGAGTGAACAGCAGGTGCCCTTGGCTCTCTTTTATCTGTTCTCCTTCCCCTTCTTTTGTGGAACCCCCTCTTGTGTCTGGAGCTCTGGGCTCTGTGAAGTAGAACGAGTCCAGGGGAGAGCTTGAGATGGGAGCCTCCCAGAACACCAGGTGCAGGGGATGTGACATGTTAGGGGAGCAGAGAACTCAGTGGGGAGGAGCAGTTTCTCCCTCTAATTTCATGTAGAAGCCGAAAGAGCTTGGTTAAGTCCCAGCTTAGTTCAGCTGGGTCCAGCTGTGAGGCTTTGGGCCCCTCACTAAATCTCCCTGAGCTTCAGGTTCTTATCTGTAAAGAAGGAGCAATAATAACCCTATCCCGCAGGATTGTTGAGAAGATTAAATGAGAAACTATGGGTGCAAGCCCTTCGTAAATTATAAAGAGCTCTAGAGAAGTTATTATTTGTGGAGCAGATGTGGAGTATTTAGGCGTCGAGACTAAAGAAAGAGAGGATATGGCAAGAAGCATTTAGTCTCTAAGAGGTTTAGGAGGGAATTCTGAGAAAGAACTCAGGAGCATGAAGACTGCTCGAAGCCCAGGGGCCTCAGGAGAGGGGGAAGGCACAGCTCCACTGCCCCACGCCCTCCATCTGCTGTGAATGCCATCGTGTGCTTGTACAGACACTGCTGGCATGTTCCAGCCCTTGCACTGAGACTCTTGCGTTGGGGTACGGAAATGCAGGAGCCAGGTTGGCACATCCAGGTGCAAAGCTGAGGTTCCCACAGGAGAGGGCATGAGTGGTGAGTCTGTGAATCGGAGTGCCGATGTCTGGAGCAGCTTGACTTCCTCCCTGGATGAGAAGACAGAAGACAGTCTCGCCACAGAAAGACACCAGAAACATGATGTAACTATAAAATTAACAACTGAGGTAGGTATAAGAAACTTTAAAACATTAAAAGGCATTAAAAAATCCTTTATATTTCCCCCCTGCATGAGGGCAGTGGGCTGCATTTAAAGCTCCCATCTGTGCTGGGTCCTTGTGGAATTGTTACGTTCCTCTTGGACAGGGACCTTGTCGTTTTGGATTACATTTCTGCACAGTGCCTTGCAGACACATCCACTTACTAGATACGACTTGACTGAGTGATTGGAAAAGAGCAGAAAAAAGAGACAGAGAAGTGAGAGGCGAGCTGTTTTTTGTAAGCCATTGTATCGGAGACGTGAGCGTTCCAGCTTCAGTGCCGATTGGGGCACAATTTAAATTCAACTTCTTGCCTGAAAAGAAAAGAAGTCATAACACCAACAAACCCACTACCTTGTACTCTTTCCATTTTGGCGGGGTCTGGATAGGATAGAAACACTGGGCTGTCGGGGTTGGAAGGCATTGTCAGTAGGGGCAGGGATGTGGAATACATTTAAGGAAGTTCCAGAGCTCAGAGAAGCAATTTAGAGAATCTGAGTGGGCTAGTTGGCCCAATTACTACAGAAGAGGAAACTGAGGCCCAGAAAGGCAAACTGTCATATACCAACCCACCTTGCTTGTTGGTGGCAGAAATGGGAACAGAATATAAGTCTTCTGACTCCTAATCCTGAGCCCTTCCAATTACTGCAAATTACCTCCCAAGAACTGATCTCAAAGAGGGGCGTAGCACCCAAACCAGGCTGAGCCTGGGTCTCCTTCTGGCCTAGAGAGGAAAAGTCAGATGGAGACAGAGAGCCCATCCCACAGAATGAGAATAGCCTCTAGGGGCATGTGCTTCCCCAACCCCACCTTCTCCATGATCCTGGCAAGGGCTGTGGATGTCAGAGCTTCCGCTGGGGACTTGGAGATCAGAGAGGAAAGTTTGGAGAGGGCTCACCCTGCACTGGGGCCAGGCTAGGGACCGAGACCCCCTCTGCAGGCTTTCCTGATGACTCCTCCTTGGCTCTTAGCGTCGGTGGGAACCCCACTGTCTCCTCTCCTGCCTGCCCTTGGAGGAAGACATGGGCTGAGAGCCTTGTTCTGGCTTCTGGCTCTGACTCCTGCTCTCCTGCTTGGACTGAGCCAGGAGGGTGAGAAGAATGGGAAAAGAGAAATAAAAATAGCTGCAGGATGAAAGATGCCCATCTGTTGTGTGGGTGAGGGAGCCCTGAGGAGGAAGGTGGACTACTTGGACACCCAGCGAAGAGGCTGACTTGGGGATTCCTGACTTTAACAGGCCATGAGGAGCAGACGGTGTTGGGGAGGCCAGAGGGTAGAATAGAAATGATAGAGATGTTGGAGCTTAAGTTTGGGCTTAAGTGCTTTATGGGCTGATTCAAGTTACCTAACCTCTCTGAACTCAGTTCCTTACACCGTAACATGGGGCGAAAACACTATCAACCCAATAGAGCTATTCTGAAGGCTACACAGATAAATGCACCAGAATTTCTGGAACACAGTAGGTGTTTCTAAGTGCTAGTTCCCATTCTTTCCATTATTCTAGCTGGGCCTGTCACCCCCGTTTGCCCTCCAAGCTTCTGAGAGCAGAGCTGACCGAGCAGGTTCCAGGAGGCGCTTCCCTGCCTGTTTTGGCAGCAGAGGGTCCAGTGTGTGTTTTGAGGGGCTTCTTGGGAGTCACCACCGGGCACAGAGAACTCTGGGTCGCAGATGAGATCCTTCTGTTATCGTCATATGTTTTTAAAGCAGCTACGCAGAGTGATCACCATAGTAGATGTGGGGTTCTAAAGAAAGGCGGCTTCTTGAAGGACAGGTGTGGCAGGAAGTGCGGCTCGGGAGGGGCCCCACACTGAGGGGCTTGCTCTAGACTTGAGAGGCTGATAGGCCACATCCACACAGCCTCAGGCCCTTCTGCTGTCTGCTGGCACAACAGGAAGAGATGGGATTTGCAGGCAGACAGGCGCAAGTTCAAATCTCAGCTTTACCACTTTCTGCTGGATGTCTCCATACAAGGGGTTTGACCTCGAAGCCTCCATTTCCTCATCTGTGCAAAGAGGACAATGCTTCATTCAAGTACTTAATCTCACTTTGAAGATGACGCTGAGATAGGTACAACGTTTAATCTCCACTCAGTAAATGGTCCCACGGACAGTCCTTTCAGATGGCAATAGTGTTAAACCTACAACCAGCTGGGTGGTCTTGAGCTGAAGGCAAGACCTTAACCTGCTTCATTCACCTCTGACTTCATCTGTCTTTTAGCTTTGTTTAAATTAGGCCCAGGAGTCATTCACTCCCAATCTCTCACCCTTAGGAACCCTCCCTGTCAGCCTGAGGAAAAATCCGGTTAGTTACCACATCTAGAAGTGACCAAGTGTCACCCGGCTGCTGGCTTACCTGGGACATAACCAGTACTTCTCCTTTCTAGGATGGCTCTTGGGCAAGTAGCTGAGGCTCACAGGAGGAGGCCTTTGGGAGAGACATGACCATCTCCATGTTCTGAGCTGCTTCTCCCACATCCAGGCCCTCTGTCCAGGAGCCGGCCCAGACCCCCTCCCTGGTCTCAGCCCCCCCAGGGTGCCTGCTCAGCGTGGGGCACGTGACCCACCTTTTGCCCTTTGTGCTCCTTTGTCCACTCACCACAGACCCTTTCACACCTCGGTTAGCCACTTAGGGAGACAAAGCCCTAGCGCAGGCAGGGGAAGCTGTCCAGACCGAGATGAATGGCTCTGAAGCCTGCCGTTGCCATGGCAGCCAGCTGGGAACACCGTTTCCAGGGCCCAAGGCACTCAGACATGCATGGGGGGTGCTGCCCTGCTGGGTTGCTGCCCACTCTCCTGCCC